GCTCAAGTCCAGGTAGGTGACGTGAGTTGCTTTTCCCTTATCCACCAGACCTGTAATTCTGTCGTGGAAGGCCACCGAATTTGTCAGGCAGGATTTGGCCTTAGTGAAGCTATGTTCGATGTCACTAATCACATCCTTACTTTCCATGTGCCCTGGCATAGTTTTCAGGAGGATCCACTCCATGATCTTGTTGGGCACAGAGGTGAGACTGACTGGCCTGTAGTTCCCTGGGTCTTCCTTTTCTCCCTTTTTAAAAATAGGGGTTATGTTTCCCATTTTCCAGTCAGCAGGACTTCTTGAGCCTGATCCCCTCCTACAGGGGGCGGTTCTTCATTCAGTCCCTGCTTTTGCCTTCTGTGACTTGGGCGGTGCAGTTGGAGCACTTGCCAGTAAAGACTGAGGCAAAAGAGTTGTCGAGTACCTGAGCCTTCTCCATATCCCTAATCAGGTCTCCCCTTTCCTTCTGGACAGGAGCCACATATTCCCTAGTCTTCCTTCTATCATCGACATACCGATAGAAGTTTTTCTTGCTGCCCTTGACGTCCCTGGCCAGGTTTAATTCTGTCAGGGCTTTGGCTTTCCTAACCTGATCCCTGGCTGCTCAGACAATTTCTCTGTACTCTTCCCAGGCTACCAGTCCTTGCTTCCAACCTCTTCCTTTTCATGTGAGTTTGTCCAGGAGCTCCTTGTTCATCCACACAGGCCTCCAGGCATTTTTGCCTGACTTGCTCTTTGTTGGGATGCATCACTCCTGAGCTTGGAGGATGTGATCTTTGAATATCAACCAGCTATCTTGGGCCCCTCTTCCCTCGAGGGCTGTATCCCATGGTACTCTACCAATCACTCTTAAGAGTTCAGAGAAATTCCTAGAAGACCTGCCTATAAAGAAATACAATACAAAGGGTAATCTGCCAGTGATAAGAGAGCTTTGACTTGTGTAATCCGTATGTTCACTCTGGGCCAAACTGTGCCATGGGCATATAAGATCAGAATTCCTCCCTCAACAAACCTGTCAAGACCACTGCAACGCTAGCTCCCTTCCCAAAATTAAGGCACATATACATAGGTCTGATACACTTCATATCAACTCCTTCCAGCCTTTCAGCACACAGGAACAGACCTGGGAAACAAAGGGGTGGCAGATGAATCAAAGCACTTCAAGGGATCCTGGCTACTGGCACCCTTTTTTTCTCTTTGAAAACCTAATGCTAGCCCAGGATTTCAGATCAGCAGATGCTCAGCTCCTGCCTGCATTTCCTACAGAGAAGAAGTGCCAGGTGCACTATGAATTGATTTTTACTGCCAGCACTCCAGATCACACATACGGCAACTGAAGTGAAGCTGGACTTTGCCCCAGGAGGGCAAGGACGCAAGCAATCTAGACTGCTGACCCTTTGCACAGCAAGGGCACTAGTCTATTAATTCACTTGCACAGAAATGAGAGGTTGTCCCAAGGTCATTTCCCTGGAGCACTATTTATGATCTCCTGCGGTACCACTTCCTCCTCAACATGTTCACCAGAAAGCAAAAGCAACAGGAACTTGGAATAGAGTCGCTCAGGACAAAATGAGCATCCTTAGGTAGGCAAGAGCCAGGAAAGATTCTGCTAGACTAGCTTGGTGGCACTAGTTTAAAAGCACAAGGGATGGCTTCAGGGTGGACCTCACTGCTCTCTCTGTCCCAGTATTTGCTACACCAACAGTGTGTGGTACCAGTACAACAGCTGCAGTAGTTAAAAGAATATCCTAGGACAAGCACGAGTGCTTAAGTGTCTTCCAGCTTCTTCTCTCCCAGATGCAACATCAGAAGCTTTGCTGGCCCTGTTTGAGATGTCTGAAGAACTGGGCCAAAGACTGCACCTGAGAAGACTGAGTATTTTGTGGACAGAAGCACAAGGCAAAGAAAGTCATAGCAATAGTGACCCCTGATAGCCCTGAGGGGCTAGGTAAAAAGGAGAAGTGTCTCTCCAAATCAGGAACTTGAATTCGAGGCTTCAGACGTGGTCTTGAATTCTGAAAAGTAACTGTGTTACTTGAATTATGATGTTGTTTGGAGATGTCATAAAACTAAGCTCACGGACTAACTGCCCCTTTTAATATTTTCAGACATTTAGTTCAGTTTAGGCAGAACCCTGTATTTTTTGTTTCCCCTTATTATGTACTAAAGCAGATAGAGAATGAGCTCAGCTGGCAGTCTGAGTGATTCGGTTTATAAAAAGCCATCAAACACCTCAATCTCTACATTTTGAGGGCATATTCCAGTCAGAAGATGGTCTCAAACCCTACTTTGGCCCTCCTACCATTACAAAATGCATTCATATCTACAGATCATTTGACAACTAAAAAAAAAAATCTACCAATGAACAAAGCCAATAAGCCATTTTTTAAGAAAAAAAAAACACGAAGAAAAACAACTTCATACAAAAATCTACCCATTCATAAACTGCCAAAGATATTGCAAGTTCTTATTAACACTTAAGGAAAGCTTTAATATTTTTCAAGCCTTTGAAAAAGTGATAGAAAAGTGATAAACCCAGCAAAAGTATTTAAGATGAGGATGTTCTGCTTCCTCGAAAACCATGTTTTCTGGTTCACCTTATGCTTAGAGGAAGATAACTTCACTGACAAAACTATTCACCCAAAATTTGGAAAAAACACGCACAAGTAGTTTATTTTGCAGTAGAGATCAGGTCAATCGCAGAAAGCCCATCATAGCTCTAGCTGCTGACATTATATTGTCTGCACGATGACACTATCCCATCGAGTACTTACACACAGTTTCTAGCAGCCAGGTCTTTGTGAATGACCTCCCGTCTGGCCAAATAACTCATTCCACAGGCAATCTGAATAGCCATATGTACAAGATCCTGCTGGGAAATTGCCTGCAAGAGCACAGAACAACCATTGCAAAACTGCATGCCTAGTGCCTGTGAGGTTAGTGGGTTTGTTGTATTTTAGTCCGCCTTTCCCTCCCCTTTAGTGGCTGATGCTTTCTAGCAGCTACAGACACTACCACCTGTTGAAAGCTTATGAAGACTGCTTATTCTATTACTCTTTTTTTCACATGCCAGGGGCAAATGTTTCCAACTTGCAGCTGCCTCACTGCTACACAGCTTTTCCTTCGATTAGTAAGGAACATAGGCAAAACCAGTCAATTTTACCCTTCCTACCACACTTTTTTTCACTTTGTTTCTCTGGAAATCAAATCATTTTCAAGCAGCAGAGCACAAATAGCAGTCAAAATTTTTGTTGCTATCTACCACAGAAAATCAGTATCAAAGGCTGTTGCTCCATCTACTTTTACAACTTCACAGTCCTATGTAAATTAAACCCTTGCACATATTTATACCTTGGGTTCCCTCTTCCATTTCTATAGTGTTACAGAAACTTCACTACGCAGGTGGACACACTGAAGTTGCAAGACTGAGGTTAAAATAAACCACACAATAAATTAAAACAATAATAAAGTGGCTTCTTCATTAATAGGTTGTTACTGAGAACAACAGCCATGTACTATTTTAGAAAATTCAAGTTTTTGTAGAAAAGTTCTATCTTAAAATAAGTATCTAGGACACCGAATGCCCTGGTTTTTGGTAGCGAAGTACAGTCATACCTAGTTACTAAGAGGCAACTCCTGTTTGACATAATACAGATTATAAATACCCTTTCTGCTTAAATTCTTGGGGAGGGATATTAGTGTGTTGCATAGGGATTCATAACTCTGATTAAGCAGCAAAACAAGTAAAATCAAAAGTTGAAAGATCCTAGCAGCTTATCACAACTTGTAAATTAAGAGGTAGGTCACCCTTGCTAGTTTGAAATCTGATACATAACAGGGACCTCAGGAAACAAGATTTCATTTTGTGCTTGATTTAGTCTGAAGACAGAAGCCAAATCAAGGTGAAGATGAAGAAAAGGCAAGGTAATCCTAACAAGAAGGGTAGTGTTACTACATATACACATCCACCACTAAACAGTTATTCAGATTCTTAGAAGTAAACAAAATATGTTCTCATCTAGGAATATTTTCCTTCTCACTTCTCATGAAATACATGCAACAGGCTTGGTTAAAACACAGTAAAGTTATGAATGCTAAAGAGCACCCACAGCACTAAAAAAAAAAAATAAAAAATCATCAGAGATTGCTTCCTTTAGTATCTAAAGTTAAATATATCTGGTTATTTTACTTAACAGCAACTCTACAGGAGCACCCTAAAAGTTTAACAGACAAGCATTATCCTTACTATAAAATAATTAAGAGCTACAGTAATTAAAGGGATAATCTATTAATTATACCGAAAATAACTGGTAAATCTGAAATTTCTCCATACATTATTTTCCCCTGTGTATTCCAACAAAACCACAATCATATCCCATTTTCTTTATTTTTTAATTTATTGGTTTTTAAAGATTTATTGATATACCAGCTACTACCCTAATCAGCAGCTTCATGCCCTCTGAGTATCTGTGATAAACGCAGACAATAAAGTTTTCCTTGTATGAATCAAGACAAACACTTGCTAGGGAACCTGCTTGCCAGTTCTCTCACTGTCACAACAGAGCAGGTAAATACCACAACTATTTAAGGCATATACACAGATGACAAACCACGTTTAAGTTTAATGGGCAAGAAGTCACAGATTTCTGAGTGTACCTGAGGATTGTTGGCCTCTACCAGCTTGCACTGTCGCAAGAATAGTTTAAGGTTCCCCCAATTCATGTATGGCAACAGCACCATTGGTTTCTCTCCCTCTTCTATACAGACATGAGTGATAGGTAGCAGATTCCTGGAAGACAGGGGCAGACATTCCTGATTTTATGAAAGTGAAGTTTGATAAAAATCTTCTCAATCCCTAAACACAGTAAGTGAAAGTGACTCAACATTGAAGAAACTTGAAACAAACTGTACAGAGTTTCAATTTTCCATGGAACACTTTTTAAAAACCTGTACCTTCCAGTGAAGACATATCAGTAAGCCTCCAATGAGTTACAGTGATTTTTAAAAGGGAATTTTGAAACTTCCTGGTCTTGAAGATGTCTGATAGTCGGGTGTCACACCCCTGAGCTCTATATACCCATGGAGCTCTACCTTCAACCAAGATAAAGGTCCCAGCTTTACAGCAAAGAGAAAAAAAAGCTTTTTGGACTTTACAGAGTTTGACTTGTAAAAAGGAGGATTAACAGGGGATTTGGAATGATGAGAGGGTGGCTGTTTCTTTTTGTTCCAATTTTAAGTATGTTTCCTTAAGAACCTGCTACTCCTCTCAATATAATCCTGTGTTTTAGGCAAGGCCTTAACTATAGTAACTTAGAAAAGCAATTTTTAAATGCACTGTGCAATTGATAATTCTGCTTGAACTATTTTAATTTCCTTCATATTACCAGTAAAAAAAAGATCAACTACCAGTCTAGGGACTTGATGATGAGCATACGTTCCTTCTTACCTGCATCGTTGCTAGTAATGAAGAGCTTTAAGGCCAATTTTAGCCTTTAATCCATGCTGCAAAACTGCCACTAACTCAAGCTGTTTGGGACATCAACTTAAAGCACTTAAGCCATCACCGCAGAAAAACATGACATTAATTCATAAGGGATAAATCCTATCAGCGATGTTACGATGCCATACCATCATCACAATACTTTTCTATGCCATGTAGAAAATTATGAACAATACAAATTAGACCAGTAAATTAGCTAAACTGACAATCAACCTGCATATATATACTTACACTCATCAGCACTAAGATCCGGCAAAATCTAACAACTAGCCTGTGCAAGAACTAGCATAAACCATCGCAGGACTGCAGCACCTTTTTCTGTAATCACTAAAAACATAAAAAAGGAGTACCTACCCACATTTCACTGCAAGGCTTGGAACACCAAACAAAAGACTTTTCTGGAAAAAAATGTTTCCTCTCCCCCTAGGGAGCTTTAAGCACAAGTATTTTCAGCTCACACAGATACAGTTTTGCTTATACATACTGCTTAGCTTACCTGTGATGAAGTCCTCTGAGTTTACAGCTTTCAGTCAGCATCATTGTCACCTGTACCTCTGAGGCTTGATCTAACAAAAAAAAAAAATATAAAGGAACTGCAGATATAATATTGGAAACCAATCAACGTATTAATTAAAATTTGGTCCAGATTTGCAAGTCAGTTGAGGTCATTTGAGCACAAACAGAACTTGTTTGCCTACTATTTTGAAATGGAATTTAAAAAAACCCAAACGAGTAAGCCAAGTTCTAGGGCATATTTCTGCTTAAACAAATGGGGTGAAGACAAAAAAGGAAATAAAATACACTCCAGGTGCTGACAGGCTGTACTTTTGCCACTTCCTGACAGCTTCTGGGCAGGCATGAATTGCCTGCGCTAGGCAGTATGGGTCACATCCTGCACATGGGGCCAGTGCTGCTGGAAGCAGCACAGATAGAGGCTGGGCGATGAGTGGATGGAGAGCAGCCCTGCGGAGAAGGGCTTGGGGGTGCTGGTGGGTGAAAACCTGAACACAACCCAGCAATGGGTGCTCGCAGCTCACAAAGCCACCAGCATCTTGGGCTGCATCAAGAGCAGCGTGGCCAGCAGGTCGAGGGAGGGGATTCTGCCCCTCTGCTCTGCTCTGGTGAGACCCCACCTGCAGGGCTGCATCCAGCTTTGGGGCCTCAGCACAAAAAAGACATGGACCTGCTATAGCGAGTCCAGAGGAGGGTCATGAAGATGCTCAGGGGGCTGGAGCACCTCCCCTGCGAGGGCAGGCTGAGAGAGCTGGGGTTGTTCAGCCTGGAGAAGAGAAGGCTCCGGGGAGACCTTTCAGCGCCCTTCCAGTGCTTAAAGGGGGCCTGCAGGAAAGGTGGGGAGGGACTCTTGATCAGGGAGTGTGGTGACAGGACGAGAGCTAATGGTTTCAAACAGAAAGAGGAGAGATTTAGATTAGATATTAGGAAGAAATTCTTCCCTGTGAGGGTGATGAGGCACTGGCACAGGTTGCCCAGAGCAGCTGTGTCTGCCCCTCCCTGGCAGTGTTCAAGGGCAGGTTGGATGGGGCTTGGAGCAACCTGGTCTAGTGGAAGGTGTCCCTGCCCATGGCAGGGGGTTGGAACTAGAGGATTTTTAAGGTCCCTTCCAACCCAAACCATTCTATGATTTGGTATGAAGGGGAGCATGCCATGCATTTCCCAAAAGCACAGAAGTGCTCAGAAGACACCAGTTCACTGCTGAAGTACCAGTATAGGCTTCTGCAGATTACTTCCACACTGATGGAGACCATTTACTTCTAGATTTACTTATTTACTGCTCTCTACTTGAAACACTTGACTCCTGGCAACCTTAGAAATGTTTGCTGTTCTCTTCACCACCTTTCAAAAAAAAAAAAAAAAAAAAGAAAATCACTCAGAACATCTACAGGGCAAAAGCAGAAGTGTTGCCTGTAGCCCCTTCCCCACAAACATTTGTTAGGTTCTCTTCCCCCACTGCCCCCGGTGGCAAGAAGCAACGGGGAAGCTTAAGGCGATGTAAATCAGAGCTCTCACAATCCCACCCTCCTCATACCTGGCTGCGTTTTCTGTCCCTCCTTCGTGCTAGAACTAGTACTGGTGTGCCTAGGCAGCAAGCTAGCACAAGAGAGAGCCCAGCAAAGGCCAATCAGTTTTCCTTGCTGCATTAGGACAAATTTACATATTACAGATGAGTCAAACCAACATTTTATTGTCCTGGGAGGAAAAAGAAGAGAGGACTCATCTGCTCTTTTCCCTTCTTCATGGTCTTACCCTCCTCCCCATACCAGCTCGGATACCCTTTCCTAATTGAACTCTAACCCTGCAAAAGAAAACACAACTTTTGTCTCAGTTAAGACTGCTGAACATGGTCAGTGCAGATATGGACAAGGTAAAAAAGCACAAAGCCCAGAGGGAGAGCATGGCCTGCCCCTCATGGCAACAGCAAGCTAAAGAGATGGGCTCTAACCACAATACACAAACTGGCATTTAGCTTTCCAGATATGCTGGAAGTGGAGACAGCTTCAGGCACAACACAGCTCCCGCCTAAGAAGGGTTCATCAAAAGAAAAATTGCACAACTCAAGAACCTGGGAGGCACAAAACATTGGCTGGATTAAGAAAGTTCCCCTAAGCCAGGGAAAGGAATGATAGCCCAAGGCAAATGACTTCAAAGGCTGCTTTACCACCTCAACTCAGGAGAGATTAAAAAGGAGGCATGCCTCCCCAAAAGCATACAGGCACTAAAAGAGGAGGAGATCAGGAAATGGAGGTTATAAATGCAGACACAGGTCCCAGCCAGAGGCACTGAACACCGAGCTTGTTTGGAAACCCCTAAAGAGCATCACTGCCTAGACCCTGTCCAGGCTAGAAGGACCAAGACCACCAAAAGCATGTAGAGAAGTCCAGACACAGAGATGCCATTAGATCAGTGACAGTTATGGCTGTGGTATATTACGGGACGCATCAAAACAGTGCATTTCCTTGTATTTGATAACAAGTACAGATGGTGGGAGGGTATGAACAGGTTCTTGCAGTGCAGAAGGCATTTAAGTACCAGTCAGCTGAAGCCTCTAGTTTGCATGCCAACACACAGAGCCACAAGAAAGAGAAGGTCCTCCCTACTATGCAGCAATAATGCTCAAGTGTTTTATATGTGATGAGTTTGATACATAGGAGACAGACTCCAAAACACTTGTAAACAAGCAAGAAAAACCAAGACACTACATTAAAATGAAGTTGTATAGGTATGAATGGCTGAGTCAGCCAACTGTTATAAAGGGCAAGAAGCATTAAAAATAGAGGTATAAAAGCATATTATAAGAAGGTAGAGGAACTGCCAGCAGGCTACTAGCATACAGCTTCAGATTTAAATGCATTAATTACTAGAACTGAAAGACTTCTTCAACTCAGCATATGGCCAAGGGAGGGAACAGATTATTAGGTGTGAGTTTAAGCTGATTAGCTCGCTTATATGCTCTTTGGCCCTCTGCTTGCTTGACTGGTTTGCTTTTAAGTATAAGAGCCACCATGCAATAATTCGAAGCTCTGAATCAGAGATTATTTAAGACTGGTTTAAAAAAAAAATCTACAGAACAAGTTAATCTGGTTTTGACAATGCACCTATTCATCTCTTCAGGTCAACACTGTAAGAGACGACATTCTTCCCATCACACAGGGTGTTTTTCAGGTCGCCGTTACCTTTCATTGTTTTCTTTCCGCTAAGAGACACTATGCTATAGCCATTGAGCACCCAAAAGGATGACTGACTCCCACTCAAGTATATATGGAAATTTAAATCTTATCTTGTGAAACAGTCCCAGCATCCGTATTGTGTTTTCTTATCAATATTATTTCCTTGTTTTCTGTACAGAAAAAACTCAAACACAACAAATTCAACACACACCAAACAAACAATAGCAGTACAAGGCTAATTGTCCTCTAGCTTAGACCGATGCCAATTTAGAACCACCACACAATTTCATTATTGTGGTTTGTCCTAGATATAATTGAAAACAGAATATAAATCACCACTTCTTTGAGTGACCCTAGTCAAAAAGGGGTAAAAAACCAAACAAAATAATACTACTGCAACAGCCTCCATTACAATCAGACTTCCTTTTAAGGCCGTTTTCTTTAGTTACACAAGAAAAAGTACATTTGAACAAACTCTGTCACATTTAGTAGATTATAATCACTTTTGAGCATCCAACAGCCAGGTCTTCATAGATTAGGAAGAAGGTGATTTTGTTGAATACATTTTGTTGAATACACTGCTGAATCTGACCATCCTGCACTGAAAATCCTTAAAAGCAACCCAGAAAATCCACAGCATTTCTGGCTTTGATACAAGAAAGATGTAGTCCTAGAGCAAAGCCAGCAACAGCCATGACCCAGCAATTCTGGCCTGGTGAGATGTTTTTACAAGGACATATTAAGGTGAACCCTACAGATTTCATTTTCCTGCCTGGGCCAAACTGTAATCCTGTACCAAATCCATATATCAAATCTCGAAGCAATACATGTAAGCATACACACACGGACATTTTATTCACAGAACTGTTTGTGTAGCCACACAAAACGAGACCCGGGGAATGATATTGTCAAACACACAAGAACATCCACAGGCTTTTGCAGCTCATTTTTTCTGTACTGGATCCATGAAATCATTTGATATGAACACAGCCACACATGCAGCTAAAGAGGGGGGAAATGGGGGGAAAGCCTCCCCGAGCCAGAAACCTCTTAAATTAGAATAGCAATTTAAAGCCACAACAGAGGAGGCCATGTCTCCCATATATTAAATCTGGGCATCAGGAAACAGCCCCAAGTTTATGTCAAACACTCCAGGGCAAAGCAACAAGGGCTGGTTGCACAACTTCTTCAAAGCCTTAAAAACCCCTAAACTTTCCTCTGAGATATTAACGCTATTTGTGATTAAGAATACGTCAGTGCTCAACAACGCATGCAGTTGCAGCCTGATGATCATGAGGTGTAGCCAGCTCAGTGCTTCTTAGCCCTGAAAGAGCATCATCTATTTCCACAAGGCTACCGTGCACCAACAGCTGAGTAACTGAGCAGCAAAGATCTCAGGTCACATGAGTCAAGAGGAAGACTGAACATCTAGAAGTACTACTGGGTATTAAATTAGGACCAAAAAGATCCAACTTTCAGAAGGTGCTTAAAAACAAGACTATTTGAGACAGATGTAAATGCGTTCCAGAACCAGGAAGATGCTTTTAAAGCACTGGTTTTACCCTTTCTGTGCCAAGAGCCTGGCTGTGAAAGCCTACCCTAAGGCATGGAGCAAGAACAAGCTATGATTCCAAGAAGCTTTGATACGGCTGCAGGTTTATCTCATGATATTACGTTATTTGTATATAGCCAGGCACAATGGGGCTCTTGGCACTACTATTTTCATGTAAAAGGCTAATCTCTCCACACAATTCTGGCAAGTGTGATATGTGCTGACGCCCTTCCTGGTTCATGGGGAGAAAGCACCTATTTGATTTTTACCACTTTCTCCAAGTCCATCTGCGAAACTGCTCTTTAGAAATCTCTATTCAGCATCCCTC